TTATTATTATTTGTATTTTAGTAAGGGCCTACAGAGTCTCAGTACGCAGATTGGACTCGTAATGATCTGCCTATGTTCACCCTCCCAAGAGCTGGGATTACAGTTGTGTGCCACCACGCCCAGTCTCAGACACTGTCTCAGCTTGCCTCAGGGGCAGGGCCAGCACAGCATGCTAGGGTTTGAACCCCAGCAGCTGCATCTGTCTAAAGCAGGAACGTTAATCCACTGAGCTATTTTTGTGTGTGTGTGTGTGTGTGTATGTGTGTGTGTGTGTGTGTTATTAGGGAAGGGTCTAGAGGGTGTTCAGGGTCTCACTACTAGATTGGACTCACAGTGATTCTCCTGTTCACAGCCTCCCAAGGGTTAAGATTACAGGTGTGCACCACCACACCCAGTCTCAATTGCCGGCTCAGTGCGCCCTGGGGGTGGGTGGTGGGGCCAGCATGGCAGGCCTGGGGATCTAACTCCTCGCCCTGTGCCTGCTTGCAGGCGCTTTAATCTGTTGAGCTATTTGGCCAGCGCTCTGCTGAGCTATTTGGTTGACTCTTGAATTTATGTAAGTTGAAAAATATTTCTATGATGTTACTTTACTCTTGATGTGACCTGTTATGTTTTGATGGAAAAAAGCCTTGCATCCTTTTCTTTTACCTCTGCCTTTCACTTCAGGCTATACATGTCCTTTTTTTTTTTTTTTTTTTTTTTTTTTAAGAAGCTACAATGAAATCATTTAGGAATTTCCATATGCCAGTTTGTATTTTGGAGACAGATGTGAAAAATGTATTTGTTTGGATGATTCATAGAACAGTTTTTAAATAAAACATTAGATAGAGTGACTTTTTGTATAGTGTAGTTCAGGCTGGTCGTGAACTCACTTTGTAGCCCAGGCCTGCCTGGAATTTTCTTTTTGGTGGTACTGGGGAATTGAACTCATGACCTTGAACTTGCCAGGCAAGCACTTATTCTACTGAGCTGTCTGCCCAGCCCATGCCTGGAATTTTGACATGATCCTTCTACCTCCTGTGTGCTGGGATTATAGGTATGTGCCAACATGCCTCACTGAGTGACTTTGTTTTTTTTTTTAATGTATTTAGTGCAGGGTCTACCGGGTCTCACTACACAGATCGGATTTGTAGTCATTTTCCTATTTTCAGCCTTCCAAACACTGGGATTATAGGCATGTACCACCATGCCCATTCTCAGTTGCTGTCTCAGCATGGGGGCAGGGCTGGCATGGCACACAAAGATTGAACCCGGTCTCTGCACCTGCCTAAGCAGGCACTTTAGTCCGTTGAGCTATCTGGCCAGCCCTGGAGTAACATTTTTAAAAGAAGACTTTTTAAAAGGGCTAACTGGACATAGCTGTAAATATAAAATGAAAAATATGAATGAATATGCAAGCCAATGATTAAAATGCTTATTTTAGGAATACCATGATACACAACTGCAGGATGGTACTATTAGCCACTGTAGTCTAAGTGATCATGACCCTGGCTTTTGTGCTTTGAGGCATGATTAAAATTTATACAGTGGGGAGTGTTGGGCTGAGCAAGAAGGAAAGAAATGGCATTTTTTAAAAAATTATTTATTTATTTTTATTTATTGTGTGTGTGTGTGGCCAGCTCAGCCCACCAGGGGGTGGGGCTGGCTGGCATGTGGTGCTGGGGGATCGAACCGCGGTCCCTGTGCTTTGCCAAGCTTGTTCTAAGTAGGTGCTTTAGACCACTGAGCCATCTCTCCAGCCCAAGAAATGGCACTTAAAAGTTGGAAATAGGCCAGGCATGGTGGTGCATGCCTATAATCCTAGCACTATGGAGGCTGAGGCAGGGGGATTGCTATGAATTCAAGGCTAGCTTTCACTACATAATTTCAAAATAGCCTGAACTATATATATATAGCAGTACCATGTCTCAAAAAAAAGAAAAAAAAGCCAGGTATAGTGGCATGAGCGTGTAATCCCAACCCTGGGGAGCTGAGTGAAGCAGGAGGATCACTGTGAGTTCCAGGCTGGCGCTGGCTACATAGTGAGTTCAAGGCTAGTCTGTACTATAGCGTGAGACCTGTTTCCACCATCAAAAACTAAAACCAAAACCAAAACTGTTCGGAATAATGAGTGAGGAATTGTTTAAAAAGATATAATATGAACAAATTCCTTGAAATTTGTCCAATTTAGCTTAGAATCCTGAAAACTTTTGCCCATTTCTCAGACGGTGCCACTTATTTTCACCACTGGGGAAATGAATGATATCTCATTATTGATAATTGTAGTATTTGTAAGCAAAACTGCAAATTTTTTCTACATTTTATTTATTAATGTGTGTGTATGTGCTTGTGTGTGTGGCCAGCTCAGCCCACCAGGGGGCGGGGCTGCCTGGCATGTGGTGCTGGGGGATTGAACCACGGTCTCTGTGCTTTGCTAAGCTTGTTCTAAGTAGGTGCTTTAGACCACTGAGCCATCTCACCAGCCCCTATTTTTTCATATTCTAAACTATTTTTTAATGGAAGATCTGCAGTAGGAAATTGTTGTATTTGGTAAAATATTGAACACTATAGTTTTGTTTTTTGGGGGTTTTTTTTTTGGCGGAACCAAGGATTGAACTCAGGACCCTGTGCTTGCCAGGCAAGCGCTTATTTCACTGAGCCATCTCCCTGGCCCCTTGAACACTATAGTGTGTAGTATCAAACTTGTATTTAACCAGGACAAGTGGAATGTGCATTTGTAAGGGAAATTGTTTTGGCACATATATAAACTTTGTGTGTATAGTTTTAAATAAAATTATTGCTACATTTTTGGGCTAGATAGATACATAGATAATTTTTGTGTGTATAGTTTTTAAAAAAATTATTGGTACATTTTTAGATATAGATAGATTGATAGACATAGATAACATTTATTGTAGGAAATTTATATCTTTTAAAAATTGTTTTTAAGCCATTTACCTATGAAAATTTTCTTTTTTCTTTTTTTTTGCTCCGAATGCCTTCAGGGCAGGTTTTGCTGGCTGGAGTGTTATGGGGTTTGAACTACAGCAACCTGAGGCTGACAGCTTTGTGGGAGCAGCCACTTAAAGAACTGACTTAGGGCCAGGCCCCCAATTTTCTTAAGGTCTTTAACATCCCTGGGCAAGACAGTAAATTTAACAGATTTGATAAAATAATGTAGCAAGACAAGAAATGTGTACATTTCATCAAAAGGGCATGTTTTCTTTAACAAGTAAGTTTTCAGATCACTAGTGATACCTGTTTATTTTTAAGTATTTTAGTATGGGGTCTACAGGGTCTCACTACACAGATTGGACTCAGTGATCATCCTGTTTTTAGCCTCCCAAACATTGGGATTACAGGTGCACACCCCATGTCCAGTCTTTGATACTTACTTTAAAGGCATTTTTATATTCATAATTAGGATTCAGCTGATTTTTTTAATCTTTGTTCTAGGGTTGATACTGCTGATGGTATTATTAATGCCAGTAATAGCAACAAGGAGTGTTCAGAACCTGTGGCTGGCACTAATTTAGACAGTGAAGTCATACAACAAGATTTTGTATTTGAGGATGAAGAAAATAATCAGGTAAGAAATTAAAAAATCTATTAAATGTACTAAATGCACACCTCTGATTGTCATGTGTTCCTTTAAAGTTATAACTCAGTATCTTTTTTGTTTTTGTTTCTGGTTTTTTTTTTTTTTTTTTTTTTGAGATAGGGCTGAGATAACAGGTGTGTGCCATCTTGTCCAGCCAAAAGTTAGTTAATTTGTTTGGGTTTTTTCTTTGCAGAACTGGGGATCAAACTCAGGTCCTTGCGCTTGCCAGTGGAAGCGCTTACTCCACTGAGCCATCTCCCCGGCCCCCAGAAGTATTTTTATAAAGAAAAAATAAGTTTCTAATCCCAGTTTAGGACCCATCTCTATAACTCCAGCTACTGAGGAGAAAGGCAGAAGGATCACAAATTCAAGCTCACCCAGGAACTCAGCACAACCTTGTCTGAAAAATAAAAAAAGGCTGGGATGTAGCTTAGTTGTAGCGCTCCTTCTAAAGGAAAGGAAGGGGAGAGGAAGCTAAAGAAAAGGAGGGCAGGAGATCTTAAAAAAAAAAAAAAATCGCAAAATGAATACTAACAAAAATTAATTTAGGGAAGTCAAAAGATAACTGAAAACAACAAAACCACACAAGAAATTGAAGGCAAGTATTTGTAGCTGATGATTGTAAAGGTGCATTTTCTTAGTAAATCGAAAAGGAAAAATCCCAACCATCCAACAGAAAAAGGTACAAAGTTTATGGGCAGTTGGAGATAGAAAAGGAGGGGGGGGCTTGCCCCTTAGCTCAGTTCTTTAAGTGGCTGCTTCAACAAAGCAGTCAGGCTCAGGCTGCTGTGGTTTGATCCCCAGAACTCAAGCCAGCCAAAACTGCCCTGAAGGCATTCGGAGCCAGACAGGAAAAAAAAAAAAAAGAAAAGACAATATTTTTTAAAAAGTTAATAGAGGGGAGAGATGGCTCAGTGGTCTAAAGCACCTACTTAGAACAAGCTTAGCAAAGCATCAGGGACCGCGGTTCGATCCCCCAGCACCACATGC